CACATCATAAACAACAATTAATAAAATAGCGTCTAATTTCAACAATATGAAAACCGCATACTTTACGATCATAAAAGTGTTGAAAAAATAAGATACATAGTTTCTCCGTCTAGCGGGCGCTTAGATTCTTGGGATTTCTGACCTTTTTTCTGCATGAAATTATTCTCTTTAATTGTTACAGTTATACCAATATCCAGTTGTCACGTATGTTTACGAACCCAGTAAATCTTGAATCTCTTGTAATTTGGGTAAGCCGAGTGTATATTTGCAAAACAAAAAAAACACGTATACGTTTATGAAAATGAAGCAATTACATCTATTTATTGTGACCTTCTGAAGTCATTTTGTGTGACGAATAGTGGGACCACAGTACCATTTACTTTTTAGGGGAATTTCTAAATTCCCCTTATGTGATGGCTAGGTCAGTCGTTTCTCGTTTAACTCGAAAGCGAAAAGAGACTGCGATGTCGAACGTTCGCCAATCGATTTCTACGAGTTCAAGGATTGAATATGAGCCGGATCAAAAGTCGTATTTCCGAATGCGAGCTGAGTGTCGAAAAATAGGCAACACAGCATACATCTAAGTACTATAGAGAAGAAGTAAAAGTGAGCAGGCCTTTTCTAAATTGTAGTCCTGACGTTAAGCATGATATTTCAGTACAAAAAAAGGAAAAGGGAAGTCAAAGTCAAGTTTAGGAACTGAAGAAAACAAAAGCTGTGCTTTTGATAACAGCGGCGGAGTTTATATAGTATTGATGACGATTGAGATTGACTCATTTGAGCACTTAAATTAACCCATTATAGTAATAAGTGATAAACTGATAACTTTGACTGGGTAGAGTATATGGGAAAAAAGTAGCCAGGAGGTGGAGGTAAAACGGAAGCGTTTATGGAAAATACATACAGAATGCTAGGGGATGCGTATGACATTCAAAATAATACGGCCAACTAAACTCAGCTCGAAAGGCTTTGTTTATGCGTGAAAAGTACTTATATGTCTTGCGGCAAATTTTCTAAAGCGATATCAAGGCGCCATCATGTCACCACCAAGTCGATAGTCACCGGCGATAAGAACTGAAAGCGAATGAGACGCATTCTTTCCATGAAATATGATTGGTATGTTGATTTTTGATCTCTCTATAAACTGTGCCGAAGCGATAAATAGGGGAATTCGCGCTCGTGTGCTTTAAATTTGAGAACCGGGTCACCCAATAAGACTGTTCCTCGGCCATATCTCGGCAACCGTTCGTCGTATGACTTAGGGGAAAAAAATTATTGGGTAAATCGGTCATGAAGAATCGCTGGAAAATATTTGCAAGTTCTAAAAATGACCAACAGAGGGCGTATCTGCCATCTTAAATTTTAAAATTGCATTTTTTTTTAATTTCGCATAATAAACTAAAAAAAATTTTTTTCACATTTTTAAAGAGGACCCGTTTGTCTATCATTTTCGTAAAAACAAAATCTCAGTTATTTCAAAAACAAAGATGGTGTGGGGCGTTCAATTGTTTTTGCAATAACCTGCTTTAACTCCTTAACCGTTTGACCGATTTTAACAAATTTGGTATGGTTGAAAAGAGCATTCCTTGGGCAATGAGAATCAAATATCGTTAATTTAGTTGAATCTTTCGCCGCCAGGGGACTAGTTTTGACACTATTACTCAAAATCCTAAAAAAAACAAAAAAATCAAATGGGATAATATGACTTTTACTTTGTGAAAAAGTACCCAAATAACATCCGAAGAGGCCAGTGAAAACCGTTTTTCAAAATCTCGGTCCTAACCTCAAATATTGGGAAAATGAGATTAATTAATTAATTAATTAAAATGTTCAAATTACGTATTTCCGGTGTTTGTCGATGGCGCGAAAGAAAAGCACCCTACACTTTTAGGTAGCCCTTGGAAAATTAAACAAATGAAACACGATGCATTATAAAATAATAACACCCGTAATGTGTAAATTATTCTACTGTGTTTACATTCAGAAAGTGCAGCTTTTTGAATTCGTAATCTTTTCTAAAATGCCAATTTCTAACTATATCCTGGCGATATATTTTGAGTATTTTCAAAATGCGACCATCGCTGCCCGCATCTTCTATTTGCATTATCCGGATCGTCCACGAACCATCGCCGCCAGCATATTAAAAGCTTCTTGGTTAGAAATCGGCATTTTTTAAAAGATTACAAATTTAAAAATCTGCACTTTCTGAATGTAAACTCAGCAGAATAATTTACAAATTCCGGCTGTTATTATTTTATAATGTATCGTGTTTCATTTGTTTAATTTTCCAAGGCCTACCTAAAAGTGTAGGGTCCTTTACCGAACAATCTTTCGCGCCATCGACAAATAGCGGAAGTACGTCAAATAAGTTACAATTTAAGCATTTTTATTAATTAATTAATTAATCTCATTTTCCCAATATTTGAGGTTAGGAACGAGATTTTGAAAAACGGTTTTCACTGGCCTCTCTAGGTGTTATTTGGCTGCTTTTTCATAAAAAAAGTCATATCATTCCATTTGATTCTTTTGATTTTTTTAGGATTTTGGATCATAGTGTCAAAACTAGCCCCCTGGCGGAGAAAGATTCAACTAAATTAACTATTTTGCTTGATTCTCATTGCCCAAGAAATGCTCTTTTCAACCATACCAAATTTGCTAAAATCGGTCAATCTGTTAAGAAGTTAAAAGCGGGTTATTGCAAAAACGCCATCTTTGTTTTTAAAATAACGGAGTTTTTGTTTTTACGAAAATGATAGATAAACTGGTTCTCTTTAAAAATGTGGAAAAAGAATGTTTAGTTTATTATGCGAAATTTAAGGAAAATGCAATTTTAAAATTTAAGATGGCAGTTACGCCCTCTGGTGGTTATTTTTAGAACTTGAAAATATTTTCCAGCGATTCTTCATTACCGATTTACCCTAATTTTTTTTCCCCTGTCATACGACGAACGTTTCCCGAGATATGGCCGAGGAACAGTCTTATTGGGTGACCCGGTACAAGTAAGTGATTGATTTAAATAATAATTAACTGTAATAAATAAATCAATCTATTTATGTATGGTTATAATTATAAATAAATTAATAATTAATTGCACATAAAGAAATCATGTAATTAAATTTACGTTGCAGTATCTTTATTTCAACCTTGATCTTAAGACTGAGATTAATATCTTGCCCCTGTCTATTGTGGTGGCGCTTTTTGCTGCGTTGCCAAAAATGGAACAAGACAGAAAGGGCGCATTTTGCAGTTTCCGCGATGAAATTAGTAAATAAATGAAGGTTTTGGAGCTACAAACTTATCCAAAATGAAAGTACAATAGTATATTGAAAGACAAGTGTTACAATGCGACCTATTGTAATACGACTATCTTGTGGCACGAGTGGCGACGCGAAGCGTAGCCACGAGTGTCCGCAAGATAGGAGTATTACAATAAAGCATTGTAACACGCGTTTTTCATACTATTTTTTTCTATTTCGGTGCTTTAATTTAATAAAAAAAATCATTATCAGAAACTATAGGGAACATTAGAACTAACATGTTTTATGTTGGGAACACTTTTTATGCCGTTAAGTTTTAGGTTGGCAGCGTAGTAAGACTTGACATTTTGAAGTTCAAACATGGAAGTACCCAACGAAGTACCTACTTGTACTAACTAGTAACTGCCAACTTAAGAGATTAGTTACCAAAAAAAACGACTATAATCACTGTCTTTGTACAACTGTTTTCGGCAGTTGTACAAAATCATCATTGTGACACCGAAATAGAAAAAATTTGTTCTTGTGAAGTTTTTCCGTTTCCCCGAAGAAATTGGTGAATAATTGAAAATTGGGCAGCATCCCGAAGTTACGAAAAAGACATTTCTTGCTACAATAATGGAGGACCTATATCCAGTGCCGAGAAAACACCCGTACTAGCACATTTTCACGATGAACCCCTGAAACTGATACTTGAATTTCCAAACAAAAGCGTGATCAAAAGCATGAGGAATAACTATTGTTCCCTTGGGGTTGTAAAAGTAAGTTCCAGTTACCCGGACTTACTTTATTCCAAACCACATTTACCACCTACTGGAAAGGTAAACCAAGCATTTCCACCGACCGTATATCTCCCAAGAAATTACTACAGTTGTCTTTCTTAATTGAAATCTAGGTAGGTAACGTAATTACGGGCTAATGACTCCGATTGAGATCATCGAAACGCTCTGATCGACGGTTACATCATACAACAATAAAACCATATAAAATTTCAACAAATGGAGCGTTAATATTGACTGACAATTAAATTTATGGCCGAGGTATTTGCGGAGAAAAGAAAATTGACCTATATCAACCCTTGTTAACAAGAAAAATCAATTATTTTCCGACGTCGTTGCTGCATGACGGACCCGGCGGGGGACGCGAGCACACACACTCTTAATTGAGGCTGTCGACGTCGTGAGTGATTGACGTCGTTGTTTATTAACGGGAAAATTTTTTTTGTAAATAATAAATTAATTAAGTACGTTCTGAATCATCGCATTTTAATTGTTGATTCATGGCTAGGTCATTTTCGGTCACATTATTTCCGATCTTGAAGAATCGCGACGCGTGTACGTCACCGCTTGCGTAATTAAAAGGAGGAAATGGACAATTTCCGGTTGAGAGTGACCAAAAATGGTCCCGTTACTCTATTGTTTATTTGCGCGAGTTTGGTGTACGATTTATAAATATTGATGCGCTTTGTTCACAATGAGACCATCTGCTGGTTTACTGAATGGAATTTACTGAATTCGCGTACTTTCCTCTAGAAGGCTGCATGAACTGGTTTTGTTTACCATAACCACGCGATCACTTCCAAAAATGATTTCGGGTTAAGGTGAACTGTAAACGGGTGCGCAAAGCAAAAAAAATGTATGGCCGAAAGACGAGTCGGCATATGTTACATTTTATGACACTGTCTAAGAAAACGTTTACTTTAAAAATGTGCAAGGCATATGTGCTCATGACAAATTTTGTTTACAGCGAACGGCCGGCCGAACACGCAAGAAGTCGATTACGACCTAGAAATTGCGCTGCCCGAAGATGGCGTCCAAAATGATAATTACGATTACGAGGAGGGCGAAGATGAGGAGGGCGATGACGAGGTGCCGGCGCCGATTTTCAATACGCGACCCAGGGACTTTATGGTGAAGGAAAATGAGACAGTCGAGTTGCCCTGTGAAGTAGAAAATGCAGGTAAGGGTTCATCTCTTCTCCTTATCTAAGGCTATAGTTACTGATCGAAACCGCCGGTTTCTCTGAAAAAATAGTATTAATTGTCAAGGCGCCATCAGTCAGCTCCATACCAACTAGCAAGCAGTGAAATTTGTGAATATTACCTTGTATAAGGGACCCTAATGCTAAGCAAAAACGTGGTGGATGCACTCCTACTGCCGCATCTGGTTCATATAATTGCCCTTGTGGTCGTGAAGAACTTGGCCATCATCAAAATTCAATACAAAGTGACCTTTGGTCAAATAAGCCTTGTGCTTCATTGTTGGACGACGCTGTCTCCGGGAATGAAAGAGAGAAACTTTGGAATTCTACAACAGTACCACACCAATTCCAGATTTGAGATTGACGCGCCATATGAAAAATTAATGGGAAATACGTGACAGTCTGCTTAAATCAGATCCGTCGTTATCTGTGGTTGGTTTTTGCCAATTGTGAAGGAATTTTGCGTTTAGGCAGGTTCGAGGTGTCTGACAAACTGTTTTTCTGGATATGTGACTGGTAAAATTGGGTAGAACCGAATATTTAATATTATATTAATATTAATATTTTAATTGATGGGGGCGCGTTCGTTTGAAGATAGGCGGGGAGCAATACGCGGGTAGCCACGAGCACTGTCGCGTCAAGAAGAGTTTGTCAGTTGCTCGTAAATCTACGTGGAGTAGTTACTTAGTGGGTAGAAACTATCCAATTGCAGACCACCGAAAAAAATTAAATTAAAAACCTCAATAGCACCCGGGGAACATATTTCGCGTCCACGGTCGTACCCCGAGACGTTGGGTTAATCATCCTGTGGATTATCAGGGTGTTTGTGGGATGAAATACTACAAATTCGAACGGTATAACTGGTAGCCTTAAACCAGTAAATCAAAGTTGGCTCTCAAATTTCAAAGAATAAATTGCAAAAAAAGGGAAATTGGTTGAACTACAGACAGAGGAAGTTTTAAAATTATCGCGAAATTAAAATCTTCAACCCTGAACCTGGAATAACTGCGTAACGTCATTCAGCCGGCCACTTGTCAATTGTGCGCAGATAATTCATTTTCAATTACATTTTCGTCTTCCGACGGATTACGTGATTTTTTTAATCGCGTGAAATTTAAAAAAAAAGCCAAGCAGCATTCCTTTAAAAAGTTCAGATTAACAAAAGTCACACTAGTAAATCTCTAATTTGCCTAGGTTGTGGCGAATTCGCCTACGGCTCGCTCGGCATTTATTTTGCAATTGCCATTTTTAACCCAGGTAGAATATGTCATTCCCGAGGCATTGCCGAGCGAGCCGAAGGCGAGTTCGGCACATACCTAGGCAAATTATAAGTTCTGATTAACAAAAGTCACACTAGTAAAACTTTAATTTGCCTAGGTTGTGCCGAACTCGCCTTCGGCTCGCTCGGCATTTATTTTGCAATTACCATTTTTAACCCAGGTAAAATAGATCATTCCCGAGTCATTGCCGAGCGAGCCGAAGGCAAGTTCGGCACTTACCTAGGCATACCATAAGTTCAGATTAACAAAAGTCACACTAGTAAAACCCAAATTTGCAAAGGTGGTGCCGAACTCGCCTTCGGCTCGCTCGGCATTTGTTTTGCAATTACCATTTTTAACCCAGGTAGAATAGATCATTCCCGATGCATTGAAGAGCGAGCCGAAGGCGAGTTCGGCACGTACTTAGGCAGACGGTAGGTTCAGTTTTACAAAAGTCTAATCTAGCAAAGGTTATGCCGAACTCGGACTAGCCGACTAATTCCGTGAAAAAGTTGGCTGAGCTAGTCTGGCGGGAGATAAGGCAAAGTTAATGGATTATACGTGTTGGTTTTTTAAACTTGAAAGAGTGGTACAACTAAAATTAAGAATTTGAGCTAGTCCTCGGTACCTTTTCAGCAAAAATTTAACATCACTAAAAAAGTCAACGTTTATTTCGTTTATTTCGCACGGAGAACACCAAATCGTACCCTTTTGAGTTCCTATGCCATCATACCTATCATACTACAATTGTATTCTTCGCATGAGGAACTTTATGCAAAATGGCACTTAATTTCTGACGTAGATTTTCAACGTACTCGTTCCCCCAGTTTTTTCGTGAGCGGGTCTTATTCCAAATTTTAATTGGTACGGTAGCCGGAGTTGTCGGTTAAACATATTGGTCCCAATCACACTGGTGATGGGATACAGCAATATGGAAAGATATTTACAGTAATTTAGAGTAGTGAATTCTCCTCGACTACGGACTTAACGAACAAATAATCAATGGAAAGAAACTCAAGGGCCTCTTAAAGGAATGCGGCTTGGTTGCTTTGAAATTTCCCGCGATTGCAAAAATTACACAATCCGTCATTGAAAATAAATTCTCTGCGCACAACAGGTAGTCGGCCGACTGAATCACTTTAAAACTGTCCGTAATTCACGATCAATCTCCTCCTCAACTGTTCTTTCAAAATGACAAGTCGCAAAACTTAGATTTACTCATTAAAAATTCACTTGTACAGTTCGGAATTAGTAGTGATACCCGATTTCTTCGTCGCATGGAAACTAAGTACCCGACAATACTTTGATTTGAGCGCTTCAACGCAAAAATCTCTGGCACTAAACATTTACGCTGTCATGGCTTACCGCGTGTTCTCTCGCGGCTTCGTGCGTAATTGCTCACGACCCCATTCATACTGGGATTTCAGCTGTTGTGCCACTTTTGCTTTAACATGCAATGAAGGAAGCTCAAAATCTGTAAACACGATAAAAAGAAGAAATACAGGGACTTGCTGGATAGTTTTATTTTTGTTTCCGTTGTCGTGTAGAAGTGGAGTATGGAGAAGAGAAGGTTTTTATTTTGTCAAAGAAATTAATGGAGAGAACAAAGCATCTAAATATCTTATTGGAAGAGCCATTACTTGCTTCAGTCTTTGGAACTTTGCGAACGAAACCTAATTCCTATGGTAGTTTTGTCACAATTGTGTTTCTAATTATATTAAAAATATTGCTAGTACAAGCCTATTAATATTACGTCTACAAATTACGTTTGAAATAAAATTGTCATGTCATTATTCTTAGTTTGATCAAGTTTCTCTAGTCTTTGATCATCCGATTTTCGCCTGGTAATTCAGAATGAACAGCTTACAGTAACCTTGTTTTTCAGATACCTTCGTGTTTATGTGGAAGAAAAACAACGAAATAGTATATCAAGACACACTCCGGTTCAGCAGTTTCGGAAACAACTTCCAACTTAACAAAAGATCGTTGATCATCTCGAACGTAGGTGCGAACGAAACGGCGAACTACACGTGTACCATTCCGCTTTCAAAGGAGGAAAACCTCAGCGTCACCCATCACTTGTACGTCCAAACTGCGCCGAAAATTGAATCGCTGAAGGCTTTGCACGACAGCACACAGGTAGGGAAACGCGAAAGAATGACCGGATACTCATTCTCGCATTCGTTTAGATCGATGCAGGTAAATCCCTTGTTTTGACTTGTAAAGCAATCGGATTTCCGAAGCCCACGATAGTTTGGTCGAAGAAAGGACATCGGCTGTCGACGGAAGGTGAAACGATCTCCATTGAAAACGTGAGCCATCACGACGCCGGTGACTACCAGTGTTTGGCGGATAATCGGATAGAGCCTCCTGCGCACAAATTCATACACATCAGTGTAGCCCGTAAGTAACTTAATTCTTATAGGTAAAACAAGGGATGTGTTGTGCTCAAGTTCTCTTTTCTGATCTAACCCAAAAAGGCACGACTCAGTTCAGCAAACTAATGTTGGGGTTGGGGAGAAAATAATTTAATAAATATTGCCGTGTGCGGTCCACTCAGTAGCTTCGATCAAAAAATTCCAAAGGTTTAAATTACCTACACACATTTTCACTGACCTGACACAATTTTTGGACACGAAAGGAAAAATCTGACATGAAAACTCTATCCGGCTCGCACAAGGGGTTCGAATAAATACACATTTAATTGAGACAGTGACATTTTATTTCATACACATGAAAAGAACGCTAAACAAAATTCTTGGACGAAAAGGAAGCTTGTTTGAACAAATACGTTCTTCCTCCCTTCAATTACTGCATGATAACTGTGCTAACTATTCAAATTTTTTTAGATCAACCTGTGGTAACAATCGAGAAATTGACGGTAAATTCGGATGAGAATTTGGACTCGCAATTGATATGCTACGTTCGCGCGGTTCCCAAAGCAGAAGTCGTGTGGAAGAAGGACGGCTTGAACGTCGTCAAAAATGAGCGCGTCGACTTCAAGCACCACAATCACACCTACATCTTGGAAATCAACAAAGTGAAAGTGTCCGATTTTGGCGTTTACACGTGCTCCGCGTATAACAGGGTGGGAAATAACGAGAAGACGATAACGTTAACCGGTTTCCCGAGCCTCGCCGAACACGTGGATACCTCACACGATTCGGATAAGAACGTTGTCGTCGTGTGGAATGTCGAATCCAATTCGCCCGTCGCCCAGTACGAGATTCAGTATAAAAAAGTTGCGGTAAGTGTACTCGGCGACGTTTCGTGTACTAAACGATTTCATTAGAATTCCGACTGGTTAATTCTACATCCCGAGGTGTCGAACGCCGAAGGAAATCTTTACACGGTCAACGGTACGTTCACCAACCTCCCCGGTGGACACTACGAGGCTAAGCTTAGATCTAGGAACACGTACGGATGGTCAGATTATTCTCCGGTCGTCCACTTCAAAAGCGGTAAGTAACCCACAGCTATGGATCGGTTGAAATTTTCACGCACTTTTTTTTTATTTTTCTCTCCCTTTAGGAGGACATCACAAACACAAACCACACAAACCTGCACAAAACTCGGAAGGTATAAGTTATCGTGCTCATTTAATTTCACGTTTAATTTTTGTTTGTTTTTTGCACACTTAGATACTCCGGTAGTTATCATACACGAACCACAAGCCTTTGACGGAAGTGGAATTACGGAAGGAGGTACTCTTGCACATTTTTATTTACAACCGTTTTCTTATTTTATGTTCTTATTATTAGGTCCGGTGATAATTCAAACCTCCGAGCAACCCGCAGTTCAAAAGTCAGAAATTTCCTACGAAGGTATTCATTTTTTTTCTTTATTTGTGTTTGTATAATTCGCCTTTGATAATTTTTTTAATAGCACAAAATGATAATGCGATTCAAACGCCACACACACAGGAACAACAGCAACAATTAACGAAAGAGTCCCAAGGTATCCGCCTTGTTTTTGTCTTGTTTATTTGCTTGCACCAATAGTAGCTTGACTTTAACTTTACGATTAGCATGCGAGATTAACAAAGGAGTGCAGTTGTAGATTTTAGTGATTTTTCTACTTCAGTTTGTCAGCCCTTAATTTACTTTTGTAGTTGGTGGTTTTTAACTCCGCTAAGTGCATCGCTCCCTTCTTTTTTAACTGTCAGTCTGGAGTAAAGTTGGGTTTCTGAGTATTTCTAATGTTACGAGTCATAGTCTGTATCCCTCTGTTCCATGTACACCAACACCTACTCCCTCATTACGGAATCATTTGCATAGTAGACGGTTCTGATCAGTTTTGGGGTTCTTTTGTCCTTTTCCCACTAATCCCCTGTTGATACAATAAACTTGGCAGAGTTCTTGTGACGTAGGCATTACAGTAACACACGTGATATTTTTGAACAGACTTTATCTCGAATTTGTTTTCTGCCGTCCTCTAAGAAATTTATTCCATGAACATGAATATATCAGGGAAAGCTTTAAGGAGAAGAACCTTGCGCATGTTCTATCGCTAATCATGCGCATATCGTGGAGGTGCGCACTGATAATGCAATATTGCCATACTTTATTTAAAAAAAGTTACAATATTATATTCGGACATAATAATCGTTTGTGAGTCTAAACACTTTAGCTTAAGCACTTTCTACACTTGAACGATGAGCAGCTGAAAGTCTGGTCCGATGCGCAATTGTCAGGTCCCATGTTCCACTCTTCAGGTAACGGGTTTACGTGCCTATCTTCGTACCTAAACGAACACATCGTTAGGATTGTAGACATTAAGGTAATATCACGTCCAAGAAAGCGAATCCACGCAACGGTATTTTTTTCAATGCCTAAACAATCCAAGTCAATTTTTAGACGAATGGAAAGCGGATCACCAGTGAAATTGTAGAGCAGAAACGAAACGACTACATGTTTTGACCTTTGATCCGCTTGTTTGAGCTCCCGGCAGGCAAAACCACAGTACACCTTGCACAATGGCGCCCGAGCATAACTTTCTGAACAGCACTTTTGCGAGATTTGGTCAGGAATCATGTCCCTGACTTGTATTTCAATACAATGCTGCAATGTCCTTCCCTAGAGAGTCCCCACTTTAATCTGTGCCTCTTTCAATGCCTCCCTTTTTCAACAAAGTGTAGAGGTTGTAGGTTTAGAAGGGCCTCTAGGACCGCCGTGGGGGAAGATGACATCGTCTCCATTATGCCTAATCTTTGTAATGCCTAATTTAGTTTCATCTGGCCTTCTTGTGTTTCTGTTTGTTGCCACTTCACTAAGGCAGCATAAGTGATGATGGGTTTAGGCATCATAAGTGATGATGGGTTTAGGCATCGTTATGTATATGAGTACATCCTATAATCAGTTTTTTTCCTCCTTGGGTTGGACTATATCACGCCTACGCACTTTTGAACCTTGGATCTATTGCACGTGTCCCAGTGTCTTACTCGGAGAGAGGCAGTTTGTTAAAAAATCTGAGGATCCTCCTGGATGCAACTCCCTGTTTTGCTGAGGTGCTACTACAGCCGCACCCAGATCTTGTGATATCTGCCCGGAGACAGCTTCACAATCACAATCCTGAAACAATTATGGAATTTTGAGAAGAATTTAGAAGACTTTAAGGACTAGCTGGAAATCACTAAAGAGGCACTGAAAAACATTAACTAGAATACCATGGGAATGTAAGTGCTTTCCAAAGCATTCTAGTGTTTTTTTAGGAGGGAAATAAGAGACTGGGGCATTTTAAAAATCATCTTATTGACCCGGATAGTTCTGGAATAGAAACTGTCTATCCAAATTTTTGGGTCCTCTCAAGAACACCATAAAAACCATACTCTGGTATGTGTTTAGTATGTGCTTCCCACAGTCTTCTAGGTGATGTTTAAGCCTTTACTTACTCGCTTGTCTATTATGTTTTATTATAAAATTCTGTCGAGGAGGGTCTAGAAGACCCGCAAGACTTTGGAAATCACTGAAGAGCCTTGGAAAATTAGAAATTGTCTTGTTGTAAGTGTTTTCCAAAGCTTGAAGCGTCTTTTCTAGGACTAGGCAAGCTTGAAAAGGTCTGGAAAAGACACTTGGGATGGTAGGGCATCGGGAAACGCGTGGGGGGTTGTGAAAAAGGAATATTGATCCTTTTTGTTTCCTTTCTGCTTTCTCTATGATTGAAATTCTCATCCTCTTCTTTTTCCTGTCTTTTCTATTTGCTGTGCGGCTAAAACTTAAAAAACTAATCTCCTTATTGAACTTCTTAGGAGGCCTTCCTGGATTTTTCATTCACCTTTTTCTACTTCTTCCCTTCTTTCATCTTCTTACTGTAGGACTGAAAGAAAGAAAAGAAAATTTCTTCTTTCTTTTTCTTTAGAATGTCAGACTCCCCAAAAGCTTTCAAATACATGGTAGATAACAATGATAACATCTTAGAAATCAATGCAAAAATTTCCTTTGTGTGACGCTTACCCCCTTCTTGTATTACCAAACGATTAGATTACCTCAAATTTACATGTGAAGTTTATGATAACGTTTTGTTTTAGGTACAGGTGGAAATGGCAGCAGTAACGTTCTTCCAACGTTATTATTACTATGTATATCGTTACTCTCAACACAGTACAGCCGTTGAATGTTCTCATCTTCCTTTTCCGTCGAAGAAATCTTCCACGCACTGGTAGCTTAAACAAAGTAAACCAAAGGTTTTTATTAATCTAGGTATAATTAAATTATGGAAAAAAAACTGTACTGCCGTTAACGCAAACCTAGTTACTGTTACAATTGTTTCAACGTTTCATAGGAATGACTCCAATAATTTAAATAATCGTTAACGCCCGCTAACAATTATTTAAGTCGATTTGGTGCTGTTTACATTTCTGTGATGTTAGTTATACGCAAAAGGGGTCTCTTCCATACTACCTATAAACTTCTTGATTCCGTTTGTAATTGAATTCAGACAATCAATGTAGGGATGCCATATTTGATACCTCGTAACACGTTATGAAATAGTAGATATTCTATGTTAAGTTTAGTTCTCGAATCAAGAAGTGTCATTTAGGATCAAGCTCAAAGGTTTGGTTTTTACAGTATTTTTTAAAAATGCAGGATGCTTTCAAAAAATCATTTTAGAGTCGTCTAGTCCGCCGTTAAGAAATCTTTTATAATTAAGTGTACTTTAGGATGTCTTTTTGAAAAAATGCTGATTATGGTGTCTTTTTTAATTGGAGGAGTATGTAGCTTTTTAAGTCGCGTATTTTAATTGAAGCTGCAAAATTTTGTAAATATTTTTGTTTATTTTGTGTGATGTGTAGGTATGTAGAGCTATCGTTTTATAATTATTTTTTTAAAACTACCTTGTAACGAGTACCATAATGCCTATATGTTCCCAATTGTGGCCTGTCAAAAATCAGATTTCCTACTTGAAGCTTTTTAATAATTTTAAATTCAATCTCGAAAGTATGAGAAATGGGAACTGTTTGCAAGATGCCTTACTATATTAAATAAAACAAATGTTATACAATTCGATGTTTAGATATAATTGTTGCTTTGTACTTCCAGCTATTTTATAAGTTAATTATACATGTAATGAACTTGCAAGGCCCTCCTTGACCAGTTTAGATAGATACACTTTCAATCAAAAGTTGGCATATCAAGTCTTGGTAAAGCTTTTTTGTGGAGAGCTTTGCAACTTCACTTACATTAACAACTGAAATACGAAACTGTATATTGTATGTATAGATAAAATAATTACAATAAAATAATACCGTACAATTACAATCTTTTGATCCTAGCCAACTTCACACCTCTGTTACAAAGTCACTTACTCCATTTTTTTAGCTCTCCCCTCCACCATGATCCACGTTGGTGCAATGTCGGCGATCACTAAAACGTCGTCTTTAGCTGCAGTGCGATAGCCGCTACCTGACTATCACATATAACAGCCTATACATAAGTTTGTAGCGCCATCTTTGTCAAGCACTGTCCGCCGCAACCGTCTTGATTGACGCCACATCTACAAACAAGCTTCTATCGATAATCACGCCCATGATCTTGTTGGATCTGTCGGCCCTGATTGCGTCGCCTCCTACGCGTCAACATGGCGATCCTGATTTTATCCGGCCGAATTGTCAGCTGTCTGCCCTTTATATTCCGTTCGTTATTTCTTCAACAGCACGTTTCATACCCGCCAACCCCAATTTGCGATCACGCGCTATAACTGAGATCGTCGGCAAACCCGATGACCTTAACCCTTGCGGGATACCAAAGCCTTAGCGCACCGTCGTACATCACGTTCCACAGGGTAGGTCCTAGAACTGACCCCTGTGGAACCCCTTTTCGTAATCGCCAGTTCTGATATTTTCCTACACGGCGCGGTGACATGCGCTGTTCTCTTGCGGATGTAGCCTTGGATTAGCCTCCTCAACTAAACGGGGGTCTCTAGTTTCTGGAGTGCCTCGTATCGTTAAAATCATCTGGTAAGGCCTCCTTGGTTTTCCATGTGCCCCAGTTTGCCTTCGCCATCTCAACCGTGACGTAGCGCAGGGTTTTTTAGACAGTTTTGGTGTCAACGCTTCCAGTCTTCAGGATAACGACCGTAATAAGTTTGGTAAGTAACTTCGCCACTATACCGGTTTTCCTCAACTCCAGACCCTTGACGACCACGTCCGAGCCTGAAGCTGCTATCTGTTTCGCCGCCTGGAGTACCGCTACGTCACTTGGAAGCGTTATTTTGTCTTCTCTTCACCCAGCCGCCTCCACTACCATTCCTTGCTGTTCTTTATCGTGTTGTTTAATATCCCTCTCGTTTATTACATCCTGTTTTTTACCCGCCTTCCGTCCACCAAGAAACCCATCTTCTAGATTTGGCTCCTTTGGCATTGTTCTCTCACATAAGCTATTCAGGAATCTACTTATATCATCCACGTCTTCCAGATCTTCGGGCTGGATTTCTGTAATCTTTTCAGTGTCCATTCTGCGCATATTCTTGCGTGGGCTGCGGACTTCGTCCAGAAGTTCCCAAAGGTGCCCTGTTTTAATTCCGCCGCAAAGGACGCAATTTGGTTTATCAGGGCATTAATCTGCGACGTGGCCCGATCTCCCGCAGTTGAAGCACAACGCCGATCGGACCGGCCCCTTACAGCGTATCTGCCAGTGCTCCCTCTCCCAACATCTGAAGCACCTCGGTTCCGGCTCCTTTCTCGCATCGAGTACTCGGGTGCGGCATCTTGTCCACCCGATCTTGATAGTGCTTTCTTGTGCGCTGCCCACTTTTACTTCGATCCTAGCGACTTGCTGACCTTTATTAAACTTCCTATAATATTCAAAAGTCTTGGGTTCGCCTCCGGGCTGCAATAGCGCCTCTTCTATCTACTCTTTCCCGATAACCCTGTCGAGGCCCCTTATCTCTATTAGGGAAACATCAGGTCTTCTATCAGTTTGCTAACTGACTCGGTCTTTCCGGCACCTTTTCCACGTCCACTATCGCCATTCCTGGTTTTTAGCGCATTTTTTAAGAATTAAAAAAAATGTGGTATTGTTTGCGTTTTGTCCGTCCGTCCGTCCGGACCCACTTCTGCCGTTTTGAACTACTTCTAGGGGAATGTCCTAGAGTCCTGGAATTTTTTGCAGTAGGTAACCTATACCTTGAAGGTGTGCCATCAGACGGCCATTAAATTTCGCGATCTAAAAGGGGGGCCCCCTCACGAATTATTTCCTGAGATACTGTTTTTGAAAGTGAAACGTGCATACTTTACCATACGACAACCAATTGGTCTCAGATTTTGCATACGCATGCCTTTAGTGGCGACAAGTTAAACTTTAGAAAATGGGGGGGGGGCACATGTTCTACCCTTCATGGTATTCTAATGAAACGTCTCATCGAAATAAATTGGTTTGTACAAACTATAGCTTTCCCGTGCGACTCTTTTTCGAGATCAGTGAGCGACGGGGCCTAGGGGGGGGGGGTTAAAAATTAATTTTATCTCTCATTGTATTCTAATTAAAGGTCTCAACGAAAGGAACAGTTTTCTACCAACTACTGCCCTTCTTTCTGTCCTCTTATCAAAGTACGGGATGGAGGGAGAGGGGGAGGGGAGAGTGGAACTAGTTTTATCCTTCATGGTACTCTAATGATCCGGTCTCAACGAAAGGAACCGGTTTCTACCAACTGCTGTCCTTTCTTTCTGGCCTCTTATCAAGTACGTGGTTAGAGGGGGAGAAAGGTCTCAACGAAAGGAATTAATTTCTATCAACCATAGCCCTCCTCCTCGACCTCTTATCGTGATCGGGTATATTCCTTTATACCTCAAGAACGGATTGTCGGACTCGGAAGAGGGTACTCACAAAGGGCGATTGAAACGTCTGCAAGAAATATATCCATTGGTGATGTCAAAACGAAAGCTATACCTCATACGCATCAGCTTCCCCAGCATCTCTAGCGTCCGTTCCTCTTCCAGTTCACCAACCCTCTCCTCTAGATTCTTATACTTAGCTTCCCATTCGCTCTTGAAGCGTTCTCAAACTCTCCTTAAGGCTTACAATAACCTCCTGATGCGTTTCTTCCTTTTCTACGCGTTTACCCAACTCACTCTTCTCTCCAGTTGCATATACTTCTCCTCCCACGTATCGCATTTATTCAGTAGCCTTTCTAGGTCCTCCTTCAACTGGCCTACCAACTCCTTCCTTTCTCCCCTTTTTCTCCGGCGCTCTTTCTTTCTTTAGTTTTTTTTCTATTTCCCGCTGCAACGCTTTTAACGGTTTCCCATGTTTCTGCCATGGTAGTTCATCGAATAAAAATAGAAATAGGCAGGGAAAAAAAAGAACTTACCAATAAAAAAACCAGCCATCAAATTAATATCAAATTGTGTTGTAAAATTAATTGTTGGTAATGTTGTGAATGCATAACATAAAATTATAACTTCACAAAAAGTAGCAGGTAAACTTCAAGAGGGAACATGTAGGTGAAAAACAAGTTTTGGGAATTATGGGTTGGGTAAGCAGGTGCCAAGATTCTAAGAAAGGGTGAAATACACAGGATGTTGTAATGATCTTAGCCTCCTACTATCTTGGCGGGCTAACGCCAACTTCAAGTCACACCGGAATATTTAACCATATTCTGTAGTAGCGGGAATGCCAAACTAACATGGCTGCCTATTTGAATATTCTTTCCCGCGAGAATCTGTCACTCGGGGGCCACTCCGAGTGCACTAAGATCGTGATCGTCATCGTCAGGACACATACGTTGTGTAATAACTGGGTTCTCAGCAGGCCCTGAGGGCGTTTTATGGGTAAGAAACACCAAAAGCAATAGCTGATTAAGATTATATTGAAGCTAATACCAATACCAATACGGCGCCCCTGCAGAGGGTCTTAAGTGGTTCTATACTACTCCGGCATTTACCTTACGAATTAGGAAAACTGCAGGAAAACTTAATTCGGAGTAGTCCTATAATGAACAAAGCCTACAGCTAACATCTAATGTACAGCACTTTTGAGCCCTCTCGAAATCGGGGTAAATACTACATACACGCTATGAGTAACCAAAATGGAATCGAGCCATTCCCCAGGTATTACAACACATACATCAGACAAAACTAAGAGATATTAAATATACCTCTCCGAGCGGTAGGATTACCCAGGCCCAGTGGGGTGCCTGTAGACGTGGGCTAAAGTTGTTGGGTTTCGGAACGAGTGAAAATGTTAGTGTTAGGTTCACCAAGGCCGGTATAAACTTGAATAACTCGATCCCCTCTAAACAAGCACACTTCCCTCTTGATTACTCACAGTACCAAATAAGCAAATAGAATGAAATGCAATGAAATAATCGAGAGTGACTAAAAAGCACAATACACAAATATGTACAGCACAGATACAGCCCTACCGACAATGAAACATGATTGCCAATACCAACAAAGGTTACACATTAAAAGGTACAAGTGATTGAGTCCAGTAAGTACATAAGTAAATGGTTACAATCTGCATTCAAGTTACACACATTTATAGATTAATTGAATAAAGCAAATACCTCATCTGATATAAAAAGCAAAAGCACACAGCAATGATTAAGGTATAACAAAATATTTCAAGATAAGCCCTACTTTACACTTAAGCCGTTTACAAGAAAAAGACCATGAACACACATGTTAAATCGTATTTATTGACTTCCCCAAACGACCGGTAACTTGATCTCTTAACACCCCTTAAAAACCACCCGAAAGTCGCCCATTCCCTGCATTTCACGCATTTCTAGGAGAAAACTGGACTGCAGGTGTTTGAAATGGTAAACACATGTGGTCTTCCGAGAAATTCCATCCGTCTCATCTTCGCTCTCTTTACCTTCTCTGTAATCCCACCAGATTTCGGTTGGCAGCTTGTGTAACTAACATAATGTATAGGGTGCTTCGTATCGACAATCATATTCACAGGATGTTGTTAAGGTTGGGGCTTCTCAATGTGACCCATCTTTGGTGCAATAAAGTCCTTTTGTTAAAAGCAAGATGGAAAATTACATGGCCTTGTAGGCAAATTTAACTAAAAACAAGATATGTGGAAATAATTGAATCGCCACTCATTTATCGCACATAGATTCTAAACTGAAGAGCTTTGATTAGGGTAATCCCGCTCCTGCAAGATAGGTAACCCGCCCCTGGTTTCGGGGTTTCGAGCCTACAGTTGAAAGTCGAAGACAATCACGGAATTAGGTGTCGTACTTCAAATGGTTACAGTTTTTACCACCCCGTGACTGCTTCATTCACGGAGAAAATTGTTAGTAACAGACAACAAGTCAGTACATACATCAAACAACTCGGTAATTTCCACATTTTAAAATAAAATGATCAAAACTTACATGAATGTTACTTCAGGGACAAGACCAAGTAATCAACATCAATAAACATATAAATTAAGTGAGAATTACACCAAAAACGTAAACAATTACAAACAATAGCATAACGGTATCACACATATGATTCGGCATGGCGGTTAAACCAAGTAAATTTCAAAAACAAAGATGGAAACACACAAAAAGTGTAAAATGCGGCATACAAAACACAAATACGATATAAAGAAATGAAAAAATTACTACCTGCATTAAATAACAGAAAATAACAACAAACATTTATGGGGAGACGCGTTCACGACCGCCATTCAAGACCAGATGCCCAAACGTAACCCCCGTTCGTGCTTTCTAGATGGCGCAGGCAGCTTTTCCCCACCATAGATATATAAATACTTCCCCACCTAGATTTTGCATGGTTGCCAACTTTCAAAAATGTATGTAACGTCGTAAGTTGTATATACAGGGTGGAACCTCTCAAAGGAGGGCTCCTGAACCCTCCACAAACTGTTATTGGCTATCGACCTGGCCACACATCCCCTCGACACCGGAACAGCAGAACCACCTTAACAATGAGCGATCGCTTATGCAACTTCCCTCGACCAAGCCCTAAAGCACACCATCAGTGCGTCTCCAAAACCAAGTCGTTCCAATGACCTGCATAATCGTTAGCACGAGCGCTACATCTCCGGCCCAACACGAGATACTACGGAACGAGATCACTCCGGTGGACCAGAGTCTGTACTACCGGAATCGCCATCAGTAACAGAGTCTCTCTACTGGCATACTTGACGACGTCGAACACCACCTACGCGATCTCTATCTAGTATTTCGGCGCCTCAACCAATAGCACCTTAGAGTCAGGCGTCTAAAGTTCCATTTCACGTGATCACCCCACTTGGTATAGTCCTCGACCCCAGAAAAACTGAGGCTATTTCACCAAACTACAGCACCAGTAAGAAACTGTTCTCCTTTTAAGTTCAGGGGCGCCCCTTTTGTTCACAGCGTTAGAGTGTTTTCAAGAAGCTGTATGCCATTTTTCTCTCTGTCAATTACGCACGGTCCGTTATAGCAGAAAGAAAACGAGTGCAGGCAAGTATTTTATTATCAGAGGGTTTAGGATCTGGAGTTGAATTTTTTGGGGTTGCAAAGTTTTTTTTTTGTAATTGAGTCGTCGTATTTGGCATAATTTCCTAATTTTTTTATTTTTATATGTGTGCGAGTGTTATCTGGATACGGTTCTGATTTTCGAAATGCGTGTGAAAGCTCGAGGCACCGAGAAGTCGTGGGACTGGGCGAGATTAGCTAGAATTACGGATCTATTTTAGAAGGGGGTCACATCCGCCGTTATCAAGTTTGCTGCGTGATAGGGGCACGTCAAAATTAGCAAAAGAAAGTCCGCGTGAATTGGAAGAAACTATTATACTTATTGGTGGAAAAAAGTTGTGCGTCCCAGAATGGGCGTGAATCAGACAAGTAAACTGGTGGGAATTAGGTTGTTGGGAGAGAACCGTGGGGCAATGAGCGTTAAGTCACGATATTCGTGTCGTGCGATTAAAAAGGTTAAGTCGGGCACCTATAGAAACATAATAGAACGTTTATTGTGTTTAGATAATAGTGTAGATACAAATATTGCATTTGATACATTGATCTGCACCCCTAGAGCTCTACCAATATATCTTGAAGAGGTTTGCGAGCTATATCCGGTACTGTACAGTCCTTAGCGGGATAACCTACCGGCAGAAGAACAGCTAACTTTTCCTCCTTTGGGCGATCGAGGAGTTTTCGTAGAGCCGGACCACAATTCAGCGGTGTAGAGGTGAGCGCCACCAAGCCGGCGTACTACAAGTTACTGTTAGTTATTTTAAACCAGATTTGCACGTACATGTATCGCCGCAAGCAGTAACCCAGTCGCTATGTGAACGCTTTCGTCGCAATAGTAGTGCCTTTGCTTTCTGCCGTCGCGGATACTGTAGGACTGCTTAAACACGAATATGAGACATGGAGCGTCAGTGAGATACTCTTTAACCCAAAACGTGCGCAAGAATTTCAGATCGTCCACCCACACCTTTCCCATACGTTTTCTGTAATTGATCTCCTCCTCCGCTTCTATTATTTCTCTCACCTTTTGCTTCAACTCTGAAGATTTTACTACGACAAATTTCCATGGTTCTGTGTGGGCGCCACTTGGGGAGGTACCTGAAAAGGACTAAAACTTCGTTTCGCAATCAATTTCCACAACTTACCCGCAGTTTTAATAACATTAGCAATAATCTCGGGCGGGATTTCCTCGTTGCTGAAATGACGAACGGTCCTTCTGGCATTCATGTACTCGTAAAACTCCTTCGATCTCGCAACGGCCTCGTGTGGCGGTACTTTTTTGTAAACGAGCGGAATATGTTCGCAATCTTCGCCCAAATGCCACCTATTCTCGTTATCCGTCTGTGGCGTTTCAGTTTCTTCTTCTTCGCCGCTCGCTGGAAAATCTGGTTAAAAAAGAAAGGGCGCTGTCCAACTCACTCTGAGCGGTTTGGTGATCGGTATACTTCGTCTTCAAATGAAGAAGTAAACAGACGACCAAATAAATTATTATTCCCAAGATGTAGTAGTGCCAATTAATAACCAAGAAGTTGGAGTGGAACAAATTCGTCATGTTTTTTCTGATCGGTATTCTGGACTAGAACAAGTAATTGCATTGGGAATATCGTCAGAGAGATAAGTAACTAGTAGTGTGTCAAGGCTGTTTGATAGTGAAACTAGATCTCTAATCTATTTAAAGGCTTCTTAATGGGCGACTTTTAGCGACCTAAAGTTGTCCTCAGTTAATGATATCGACTTTTTCACGATCCCCTAAATTCAATAATAAATCAAATTAGATCTTAAGTCCTAATATTTGTTTAGAGCCCCAGTGCCATGTAATTGTAATTTTTATTCTGTATGGTTTCTGGTTAAACAAATAAATAAGGCAAAAATTTAAGTTTCCTTTTTTAAAAAACCAAATAATAAAAAACGGGGGTAACTAATTAGGTACTTACCCTGATGCGTATGATGTACATATTATATGCACGAGGTTAGAGGATCATTGTGACGATTTAGATAAACTTGTTGAACTTCGAGTTTATCTGCATTGTGTTCTTTTCAGCACACTTTTGTGCCAATTCTTCCATGAAAAATACATTTCAGAATTGACACACACAATAAAGCGTAGTGATGCGAGAATCAGGTCATTGTAAATATAGTTTTTCTAAGACTTTCCTGAAAACGAGTTCATAATTGATAATTTGGAGGCATGATATGGTACCCATTACCTACACCCGTGCGTAATAGAAAAAAAATTTGCCTAAGTAGAAAATCATTTCCGTATCAGTCAGTATCAGTATCAGCATCAGTATCAGCACAGATTTACGTATATCTGTGGTATCAGTATCAGTATCAGTCACTGTCAACGACGACACACGCTACAGTGCGAACCCGAAATATGCTGCAGAAGTGAGAGACTAATACTCACTAACCCATCTCAGGAAGATAAGTACGTCAAACTCAAGGGGGGTTGGTCCGTAGACTAAGCTTCAGCCAGGAGTACGGGACTCGACAGCTATGCTAGAGCGTGAAGAACTTGATGATCGCAAATCATTACAGTTCCTTCGGCCTTTCCCCTGACTTTAAAAGGTCCTAAATAACGGGGTGCTAATTTCGCGGAGCAGTCACGGGTGGCATCGAAGTTTGTTTTGTTCTTGCGCCACCCTTGCTGTCCAAGGTCATATGAGATATGGCGTCATCGCAAGTCATACATATGTTGTTTTTCTGATGACAGTTGAACATTAACGTCGGTATCAAAAGTATCCCCTCTAACGCGAAATTCTTAAAGGGCCAGTTGGTAGAAAACGGTTCCTTTAATTAGAATACCATGAAAGATAAAATTAATGGATACAGCCTTTGAAATGTTACAGGTGCGTTCGTCAACCCAAAGGGCATTATTTTTAAGTCCACTTCCTGGTATTGTGGAGGAGCTCAGTTCTCGAGCGTTATCTTTTATTGGCACTTGCCAACATGCAGAATTGATTCATGGGGCTACAAAAGTGTGCATCTTTTAACTTGTCTAGCATTGCGGAGATATAAAGGATCAGATAGGCATCAGACTTCGTAACGCAGAATCTAAACGGCCATCTTTCTTTGGTACCATTAATAATGGACTTGACCATCTACTCCTAGAAGGTTCGATCTCTATTAAAGCTTGTTTCTTCTGTGAAACTGAGTAGTATCTCTGATTTACTTGTGATGAGTCAACTATTATGTCGTGTTCAATGACTGTTGTGAATCCTAAGGCGATGTTTGAAAGGGAGTTTTCTGAATGCTTGAATTCCACGGGAATTGAATCGGTTTTTCTGAACTTCCATACGTCTTTACTAAGATCCGGATTTATTACCATTTCCTTCAGATCCTAAAATTGAGTAATGCTGAAAATGGTTTGTCTAGAAGTCTACTTTCCAATTCTGCAATAAAATATGGAATGTTCTATTAAAAAACCGTAAGTTTGATACGCCACTGGAATACAGCACGCCAGTGGTGACCAGAATTTTTGTATAATGGCGACGGTAATTGTGCGCAATTTTCTCTTACATTTTTTGTATATTTTGTTTTGTAAAGGAATTACGATCCGATGGGGTCTTAAATGCTACACTCTGTATATGGTATTGGTTGTGTTTTGTTCGTCCGTCCGTACCCAGTACCCACTTCTGCCGTATTACTTTTAGGAGAATGATCCTAGAGTCTTGGAATTTTTTGCAATATATATATTGAAAGTGTGGCAAATTCCCCCCCCCCCCCTCCCCCGTGAATTATTTCTTGAGTTTGATTTTAACCGCGTTTGTTCGCGGCAGTTTATGTATTTCACTTCATTTCGCAATAAATTTTTTTCATCATAGGGGGAGGGGCGCTACTTTTTATGTACCTATCTCACTTATCACTTCGTCATAAATGTCTGTCATCAGGGGAAGGGGGGAGCTCAATTTTAAACCGCGTTTGTTCCCGGCAATTATTATTTCACTTATTACTTCGCAAAATTTCCTTACTCGTATGGGTGAGGGGGGAGTTAATTTTAAATCGCGTTTGTTCCCAACCCTGACCCAGAAGCGGGTAGGCAGAGAGAAAAAGAGGCAGCGGTCGGATCACTCAATACCGACCCAACCGTCGACGAAGAAGGGCAGACCGCAGCAAGGGGGGTGTCAGCAAGACTGGAGCACCCCGCTTTAGTCCAAGTCCATGTTGGGGGTATGCTGACCGTACCTTCCAGCATCTTCAGGTTCATCTCAAGTGTGGGATGGCTTGAGTGAGAAACTAGTCCACAAGAAATAAGAAGTATGATTCAAGATGAGATACAAGATAAGGTTACTGTTGCCCCCCCCCCCTCCTCCCAGCGTTACCTTAAACTCGCCAGCAAAACCCCATTCGATAATTTACTTTTAGCACTCTCACAGTAGTCTTCAGAAAAAGTAATGGAATCTTCGTATGCTAGGGGGTCTCATTAGTCGATGCATTTTTGTGTGTAAGTCGCATTCGACCGTAGATTTTACCGAGGGCAAATTAAATTCGTGCTACGTGTTACGTCCAAATTTTGTCATTCCCCGTAAAGAGGGAACTTCATATACCAACAACTACGAACCTGACCTAGGGGGATTTTCAACAAAGACGAAATATATGGATATCGACACTACATGAAAATATATACCGGCTAGAAGGTATTGCTACATTTGTAGTTGTAGATTGCAAAGATCGGATGTCGCCTTGATAAGTTAGACTGTTGTTTCAACCCCAGTGGAAACCGGCAATCATTTCGTAGAAAAATTAATTGCTTCCTCTTTGAACAACGAGGTAGTGTGAGACACTTAAAACTGTACTTCCGATACAACCGTCGTCTGTGTTTCGAGACTGAACTATTTTAGGAAGGGGATAGAGTGGTGAACGATCTAGAAGATTTGTGAAAAAAGATAACATAAAGGAAAGAGCAAAAGGGAGTATAGGTATTATTAACAAGGATAAAAATGGGATAAGGGAATGGGAGAAGGAAGGCATACAGACGAGTGGAAGCGGAAGAGAGAAAATGCAACAACAGAGAAGGAATGGAAGATGTAAACAAGACGTATAAATTGTGCACAACTCTTGAGCAGATAATGCGCATTTTTAACCGTTTTGACATCTTCAACTTCTAGACGTCTCAATCGCCCTTTGTGAGTACCCTCTTCCGACAATCCGTTCTTGAGGTATACGGGAATATACCCGATCACGATAAGAGGTCGAGGAGGAGGGCTATGGTTTAGTTTAACTTGGCACCATTAAAGGCATGCGTATGCAAAATCGGAGACCAATTGGTTGTCGTATGTAATAGTTATGCATGTTTTACTTTCAAAAACAGCATCACAGGAAATAATTCGGGGGGGGGGGGGGTCTTTTAGACAGCGAAATTTGATGGCCGTCTCGCACACCTTGAAGGTGTAGGCTACCTACTGCAAAAAATTCCAGTACTCTAGGACCATTCCCCTAAAAGTAGTTCGAAACAGCAGAAGTGTGTCCGAACGGACGGACGGACGGGCAAAACGCAAACAATAACACATTTTTTTTAATTCTTAAAAAATTCGCTAAAAATACTGGAAGAAATAGAAGAATTTCGAAGCGGATCATCACATCAATTAATTAACCCAAGCAAGATAAAAAGATCAAGAAATGGAAAGATACAAGAACGAAAGGAGAAACAGTAATGGGCAAGAGATACTGCGAAGTCGATAGAAGGAGACTAGAGGAACAAGACGAAGAAATAGGAAGGAGTACAGAGAAGCAGTTGAAAAATATGAAGGAGAGTATAAACAAGTATAAATTGTGCACAACTCTTGTGCAGATAAAGCGCATTTTTTTAAACTCAAATATCTTTTGTTTTGACTTCACCAATAGATATATTTCTTGCAGACGTCTCAATCGCCCTTTGTGAGTACCCTCTTCCGAGAATCATTACCATCATGGATAAAACTAGTTCCACTGCCTCCCTCTCTCTCCACCTCGTACTTTGATAGGAGGACAGAAAGAAGGGGCAGTAGTAGTAGAAAACGGTTTCTTTCTCGTTGAGACCTTTAATTAAAATACAATGAGAGATAAAATTAATTTGACCCCCCCCCCCCCGGCCCCGTGGCTAACTGATCTCGAAAAAGAGTCGCACGGGAACAACAAACAATTTATTTCGATGAGACCTTTCATTAGAATACCATGAAGGGTAGAACATGTGTTTAATTCCCTCCCCCGCCCCTCCTCATTTTCTAAAGTTTAACTTAGTACCACTAAAGGCTTGTCGGTTTGATAGCCCCCTAGAAACATTACAGCTTGCTTAATTTTTGTTTATTGATGTTGATTACTTGGTCTTGTCCCTGCAGTCCCCTCAGAATTTAGGTACATACTCTTACCTGACCCTTTGTTTCCAAAATTTGTTTTTAACCTTGAGTGTAACCAACATTGTGTATATGCATTTACTATCTACTGCTTAAACTTTTTTGTACGCTCACGGCCGGAGAAAAAAGTGACATGACAGACAGTAAATATCATCAGGTAGTTGAACTTTGGAGATTTATTAGCGATAATTACATATTAATTGTGAAATTACAATTATTTAGAGTTGCACCGCACAAATTTAACACACTTCCTGATTTATTGACTTCTAATTCAATAGAATTTTGTGTAGAGTTGAATGAGTTAGCCAATAACATTTCCTTTGACTTCTTACTCGTTTCAACATCTGTTAAATCAACGTCCACCGAATTTCGCTCATCGGAAGCTGCATTCAGGCCCAATGACGAAGAATTTGGCATTAAGATTTTTTTCGCGGTTTCTTTTTTATTAGACAAAGAATCTTCTAGGTATCCTTCAGCCACAGTGCTCGACCTCCAACCTCCATGCCGCTTTAAACAAGTGATATCAGCTCCTCCATTCACCAGCAATGTAGCTGAAGTTCTTCTTAAAGCATGGCCTGTGTAAAGTTTTGAATCCGGTAGTTTTAAAAAAGTTGCTACTGTTTTGGGTACATTACTAATTGTATGAATTCCCATGACCATGCGATAACATTTTCCGTTTTGAAATTTCAAGAAAAATCGACGGCTTTCCATAGCGGGGGGGCGCAAGGAAGTATATTTTCTATAAAGATTTATGTATTTTTCACCAATAATTGTAAACGATCGTGGCTTTTTAGTTTTGCTATCAGGAATCTTTATATGAATAACAGATCCTAAATCCTCTATATTGTCTATTGTCATATTCACCATTTCATCGCACCTACATGCTCCTGATACGCCTATTACTAAAACAACCTGAAAATAGCATATATTATTTTAAAACTTTAATGTATTTATGCAGGTATACCTAGGTAAGTATTTTATAACTAACCTTAATCCCCAAATATTGCTCATCAGGTGCATTGTTTAAAAAATCTTCAAACTGTTCCTTTGTGAATACCTTTGATTTTTTGGGAGTATAGCCTTCATTCTGCTTTTTCAAATAAGCACGTAGCTTCATATATTTGCTAATATCTAATCCATGTTTAAGATTTAATAATGCTTTTATCATGGAATATTGAGACCACATTGTTGAACTCTTCATTTTTAGATTGGTTGCCAATTCACAAAAATAAGCTAGTAGCACATTTTCAGAATAGTTTGTAATGTTTTTCTCATTGCACCATGTGAGAAATCTTTCATAAGCATGATTATAAACTCTACTTGACTTCGTTGGAATTAAATCGTTCGTAGCTGTCTTGGCAATTGCAAGAACGTCTGGCGGCGTACAGTTAAGTTCGGAATCCGACATAATATGTAACCTGCAAGAAAAATTGGTCAATATCTTTTACTACTTTATCTACTTGATACTCGGGTACTTACCAAAAACGCACAGTTCAAAAGGGCTTTGAATGTTCCCGATAATTAATTTGTTGAATTGTCAAAATTTTCTTTCACCATAACAACCGCAAACCACAGCAATCTAGTTTTAAATTTTTCAACATTTAACAGATGCGCTGCAATCTTTTTAGGAATACTCCCTTAATTCTATCGTTTGAACAGCGTTTGCGGAAAAAATTGTATGTTTTATTCGGAGTAAAAGCACTTTTTGTGGCGCGTCTGAAATTGTCGGCCTCACTACGTTCGGCCGTCAAACATTCAGACTTGCCACAAAAAGTCACACTTTTACTCCTTATAAAACAATATACTATTGTTAACTAACTTTTAGACTGTATTAATCAATCTGCAAGATTTTGCTTCGTCGTACTCTTTTTACCCTTGGCAGTTACTTTTGCGAGAGTACGAGACGTTTTTGGCTGTGTTACATTCACGTACACCAACTAAATTTCCGGGATTTCACAATCATAAGGATTACGATCATTATTATACACACTTTTCACAATTCAGTGTTTTATTTTACGTTCCTTCCCTACTGTGCTTCAGGTCAGAGCGTTGTTTACCATTAATGTAAGGGGGTCCTCCCTTAGATGTTTGATCACGTCACACGTGCCACTTTTCAGTTTTAAGCGGGATCTTGTTAGGTTTGGAGAGAATAGTCACATTCGGGTGACCATTTTTAAACGTTGCCGGGTTGACTTTATTTCCATGTTCTTGTAGTGTGAAGTTAGCGTAGAACCTGGGGATTAAGTACACTACAGAACTTATCCCAATTTTGGAAATTGTTCCAACTTCATTTATAGATAATCTTGGAAAAACAACTTAAAAGTTTTCCTCAAAAGCGCGAAAGATAGCTTCCGCCGCGTCGCTTGGTTTATGGAGATCGAAAATGTGCATTATAAAATTGGTCTAAGTTTATGTTTCTGCCATCAAACAACTTTACATACTTCGTTCTGTATGTACTGTCAAGCCTTAAAGATCAGCCTGTAGATGAAGGCAGAATAAATTTGCCGCTAAAAATAACTTAGCAACAAGTGGTCTCCGTAAAAATCTCACTGCACATGCGCATGCATTTCAAATTCGACCGTAAATATTTACCTATCAATGCGAATATAATTTGTTATTGCAAAACGCATCTGCAGTAAATTTATGCGCGCACTCGTAACTACAGCCCAATAAAGATAGTGATAACGTCGCAAGGAGCGATAGCGATAGTAGAATCCCAACACCATCTTGAAAGATCCATAAATATCTGACCTTGCCGTCTAGTTTTATGGAATGAAGTATTTCAAAATGAATCTGTTCGTATTTAGAAATTTTCGAGTAAACACTTGCCGAAACAGATCGCGTGGGCTCGCAGGGGGTTGGGCGCCAATTGCCACAATTGCAATATATGGAAATTGAATGCGAAACTTGTTTATGAATTTTTTTAATGCGACGCGACCCAACCACCGCGTACCAAGAGATGTCGAATGAACTATTCGTGGCCGGGCACATCCTAATCTACCGCGATTTGACATCGGTAAACATTGAACAATAATTTTTAGTTTAAATAATGTTGACACTTGCAAATGTGCTCGAAATTTAACTTTAGTCGGGGCGACATGGGGTTAAGAACGTTCTGAGTGCGTGTTAGTGCGTAAAAACGGTGCAACAATTTAAATCAGTAGGTATGGAAATCGAACAGGAAGAGAATGCGAAACATGAGGACAATTTCTCTAAAACCCCGATACCGCTCTCTAAATTACACTCGAAATCACCGTCTGTTCGTTCCATGACCCAAACTGTCATCGTGTCCTTAGAGGAGACTGTGACCCACGATATTACCTACGGTAAGTGCATATCACCAGTGTAGGTGTTGCACCCGTGCAACAAAACATCGGGCATTGTTTTCCTAATTACAATTTATAATGAGGCCATAAGTAACGAATAGGTAACGTCCTTGACCTATAGAACCTTTAAATCAATACCCTCTGCTTAGTTTTCATTTTAATTTCGTAAATTATAGGTTTAAATTGTTGTAAAGGCTGCAATGGAACTTGTTTCGTGTAATGTTGCTTGCATAACTTGCGGTTGGGAATTTCCCGCCTTAAAGTGGTTTATTGATAATGCAGATATCTACCCTGTCTCCGTAATCCGAGTACGTACGAATTTTAAATTTTACACCCTATTGAGGGAAGCTCGCCCCAAAATGTGTGCGCACTTTGGTTTTAATTAATCAAATGAAAGCCTGTTTAGTTCTGTATTCCCAATCGAACCTTTCTTAAGAATTATTCAAAAACGCCTCGAGGATCATGTTGTACAAAATATGAAATTGCGATGGTTGGGTGCAATTGCATTTTTCTCGATTGAATGTTTAAATCTTCAGTACCTATAAGGCTATAATATTGGAAAGCGCAAGACAGTTGCCCTTCGTAAATTTATTGGTTTCATACAGAATGTTTTAATACAGAAATGGAGTCGATCCCATGCGATGTATGTGCTTTTTAGCGCATTTCCACAAAAATAAAAAAAAATGCGCTATTGTGGCCACTTTGTCCGTCCGTCCGTCCGTCCGTCCGCTAACTTTGCGACGCTACTAGTTTTTTTATCTTAAGAGCTATTGTTCTACTTTTTTCGCTATTTGGTTCGTTATGGTGTCGAGTCTTGTACCAAGGAAGGAATTTTTTCTGTACCGCTTACAAAAAAGGTTATTGTAAAAAAACAAAAAACCGTTTTTTACATGTTCCATAATTTTACACTTTTGCCGTTTATTAACGATCCTAGAAATTGTTTATAATTTTGCATTGCTATCTGTCGCCTGCCGGTTGGTCTCTCCGTCTGTTCCTTTGTCTGTCTGTCCATCTATCTGTCCGTGTGAACGATAACTTTTGTTTAGAAATGTTCGATCGCTTTTACATCTCCGTTAGTTATGAACTGAATTGCATGAAATTCAATATGGGCATAGATTTAGCCATATAATACGCAATGCCAAAAGTTGGATCGAATCGATTCCAAATTCACAGTGCCCTTTTCGCATCTCGACCATTTATAAACCGAATTGCAAACTTTTTTACTTATAAAAGTATTTGAATGAAATTTGATACATAGGCACTTGGAATAAAGGAAAATCAAACCCCAATTTCAAAATTTGGTTTTGCGCATGCGCAGTGCCAACTTTTGTATTTATGGAAGAATTTAAACGAAATTTGATACATAGGCACTTGGTATAAAGGAAAATCAAACGCCAATTTCAAAATTTGGTTTTGCGCATGCGCAGTGCCAACTTTTTATTTATGGAAGAATTTAAACGAAATTTGATACATAGGCACTTGGGATAAAGGAAAATCAAACGCCAATTTCAAAAAATGGTTTTGCGCATGCGCAGTGCCAACTTTTTTATTTATGGAAGAATTTAAATGAAATGTGATACATAGGCACTTGGAATAAAGGAAAATCTAGCGCCAGTTTCAAAATTTCATTTTGCGCATGCGCCGTGCCAACTTTTTTATCTATGGAACTATTTAAGTGAAATTTGATACTTAGGCGCTTGGAACAAAGGAAAATCTTAGTTTATTAGTTAGTTATAGTAAATTAGTTTTAAAATTTTGGGTTGCGCATGCGCAGTTCCAACTTTCTTATTTAGAAAAGCATTGAAATGAAATTCTTCTCATAAACTGAAATTGAAGTAGCACGTCAACAATGGATTGCCCATCCATGTGCAACGCTATCTTTCATATTTGTGGGCGGATTTTTACGATTTTAACAGAAGTTGCATCTTACAAATGGGAAATGAATGCAAGTGGAAATGCGCTTTATGTAAATCGTTTACGATTACTTTTTAACTTGTTTTAATTTACTTTAGCGAATTTTCTAGAGCGACGTCAAGGCGCCATAAATCGGAGAAAGGATTAGTCACCGGAGATAAGGAATGAGAGCGACGCATTCTTTCCATGAAATGTGATATGCTGAGTTGAGAATTCTTTAGAAGCTTTTTTGTTTGATATACGTATAAGCAAATTAAATTGCGTTTAATGCGTTCCAACATCGATGGCGAAGTGATAACTAGTGAAATTCGTGCTCGTGGTATAAATTTTCATGTCTACATGAGTATCTGTTTAAAGGCCGTTATAAGTTCATGAATGATTGTACATAAATAAATCACGTACCTAATTAAATGGCCTCTCTCGCGTGGCGACAGTCTGACACCTAATCCCATTTGGTGTTTTGCCTAGGTATCTTGAATTATTAGATTTAGGTAATACATTGGATACTGCAAGTGAGAGAGCCCGCAAAATGGTCGTTTGTGGACATTCTGGCTAGTTTGGCGGCTTTTTCATTGCCCTTCGTTCCGGCATACCATTTTTGACTCATAGAAGTTCAAGGGAGTTACTGGATGATACTGGATCAATCAGTCTTTATTAATGCCATTGGGCATATAATCCAATCAATCAATTACAAAAAATTACAATTTGTAGGTTTTTTCCTTTTCTCTAAAATCATCTTCATCCATTTTTCTCCTCTTCCCACCTTTTCCAATCTATACTTCTGCTTTCCTTTGTTCTTTCTGCTTTTTCATTTTCTAAGCATGTGCTCTTTCTCTTCCGAAATTCTGCATTTGTCTTCGTTTCTCCACTTCTCCTTTCCTGTCGTTTCTGCATCTAAATCTCGCTATTATATCTTGATTTTTTTTCTTCCCTGAGGAAATTCGGCAACCAGCTCCTTGTACCTACTGTTTCCTACTCGTTTCCTCTTTCTCTCCTCCTCTAGAGTCTGCGTCCTGACTATCCTTATCTGCTCTACTTTTATTTCTTCGTCTAATATGTAATTTGGTGTCCTTCTGTTTAGACCCAGTGCCCATTTGTAATGCCTTCTTTATATTCCTTCTAGTTCACCCCATTCCTTCCACCTTCTCCAGATAGTTCCTTGATTCTGTCCTTTACTTTATTGTGTATTTTCCCATCTTTTATCATTTTCCACTCTGTCAAACGCTGCATTTAAATGAATCAAAAACGCCCTTCTGCCTCCCTTTTTTTCTTATTCTTTTCCCACCAATCTGTGTAGTACATATATACAGTCGAATTTAAAAATGGGAGGGGAATCTTTCTACCACTTTCCCTTTCTTCAGTCTCTAATCTCCTCTCTTGCTATCCCGTCTACTCTTCCACCTCCTCTCTTCTATGTTCCTATGTCACCTCCTCTTTCTCCTGATTTCCGTGTCGTACCTTCATGAAGTGCTGCTTCCAGTCTTTTATTTGTATTTCTTTCCCATTTTTATGTGTTTCCCCTTTCATCTGTTCATTAGCTTCCAAAAGCCCTTCTGTGCTCTTATTTCCTTGAATTTTTCTTCATATTCTTTCTGTTTCTTCATTTTTTTCCTTACATTTTCTTTTGTACTTTTTTCTGTTCTCTTCTTTTCTTTCTTTCTCCACCATTACTCTATGTCTGATTCTCTCCTCTGTACTCGTTCCTGCCTTTCATTTACTTGTTTCTATGTTATTGTCTTTTTAGCGCATTTTTTAAGAATAAAAAAAAAATGTGCTATTGTTTGCGTTTTGTCCGTCGGTCCGTACGTACGTCCGTCCGTACGTCCGTCCGCCCGGACCCACTTCTGCCGTTTTGAACTACTGCTAGGAGAATGGTCCTAGAGTTCTGGAATATTTTACAGTAGGTAGCCTATACCTTGAAGGTGTGCCAGACGGCCATCGAATTTCGCTGTTTAAAAGGGCCCCTCCCCCACGAAGTATTTCCTGGTGCATAACTTTCACATACCACAACCAATTGGTCTCAGATTTTGCATACGCATGCCTTTAGTAGTGGTGCCAAGTTAAACTTTAGAAAATGGATGGGGGAGGGGGGGTAAACACATGTTCTACCCTTCATGGTATTCTAAGTCTCTAAGGTCTCATCGAAATAAATTGGTTTGTACGAACTATAACTTTCCCTTGCGACTCTTTTTCGAGATCAGTGAGCGACGGGCCAGAGGGGGGGGGGCGATTAGAAATTAATTTTATCTCTCATAGTATTGTAATTAAAGGTCTCAACAAAAGGAACAGTTTTCTACAAACTACTGCTGGGGGCGGGGGGGGGGGGGTAAACACATGTAATTACCTTCATGGTATTCTAATGAAAGGTCTCATCGAAATAAATTGGTTTGTACAAACTATAACTTTCCCGTGCGACTCTTTTTCGAGATCAGTGAGGGGCCTGATAGGGTGGGGGGGGGGGGGTTAATAATTAATTTTATCTATCATTATATTCTAATTAAAAGGTCTCAACGAAAGGAACCGTTTTCCGCCAACTACTGCCCTTCTTTCTGTCCTCTATCAAAGTAGGGGGTGGATGGTGAGGGGGGGGGGGAGTGAAACTAAATGAATTCATTTCTACCAACCATAGCCCTCCTCACCGACCTCTTATCGTGATCGGGTATATTCCCTTATACCTGAAGAACGGATTGTCGGAAGAGGATACTCACAAAGGGCGATTGATAATTCCGGTAACACATCTTCCTTTTTATTACATTGTTTATCTCTTGATTTTCTATTTTGAGATCCCCTTCCCATCTCCACCAAA